GTATAATTCTATCAGTTAAATATAAAGGACCCATAAAACAGGGTAGATGAGCCTCTTGACTAGATAAGAATTAGTAATGATTAGGGACTGATTAGTGGGCTAGTACAGGAATGTAATAGATAGAATAGTATTAAATAGTAGATTACTAGATAATAGTCAATAAAGATATATATAGACCGCCTTATTAAATATTTAGGAAGATAAGAACTACTCTTATATGTAGCATATTTATAATAGTAGTTTAGAAATAGATTAAGGGCATGAAAGTAATTACCTAAATAAATAGTAAAACAAGGGGTAATAATATAAGTAATATAACTAGAACTAAAACTAATCTATTATATTAATAGTTTACTTAAGCTTTAAAATAATGAATCTATCTTGTAAGACATATCTTTAAAGATACTAAAGATTGTACTAAATATTAACTATAGTATTTAGCTATACTCTTTATAGGCTTATTATTACTCTTATTTTAACTATTATTATTATTAATATATCTGTAGCTAATCATACTAAATATATTAAATATACTCTATTAGCTAAAACAAATTTATTTATCTAGCTATGCTTTTTTTACTATTTGTATTAATTCTACTTATTAAAAGTTCTTCTTTTATTATTAATAAGGATAAAAGCCGTTTCTAAAAATATTAATATAATTCCCCTACAAATATTATGCTTCTATAGTCTATTAATGTTAATAAATCTATCTCATTTATGTTAAAAAAGATAGTTAATAATAAGATTATCTTAGAGGCTCTACTTATAGAGATTAATAAAATAAAAATAAAAATAAAGAGCTTTAAAAAAGACATATTAATTGTCTTAAATTATAATAAAAGATTACAGTTCTTATTATTCTTATTTTAGAGCTTAGTTTACTATACTTAGCTCTCTAGAGGCTAGCTATATTTATAGATATTAATAAAGAGATTGGCTGAAGCAATTTTAAAGTTAGTTAGATTTAATCTAAAATAATATTTAGAATTAGATTATCATTAAAATAATATGTTAGGATTCCTTTTAGTATCTTTTTTAATCTAAATCATACTTAAATGATTAGTTACTAAATAGATATATTTCCTTCTAATATCCTATCATATTAGATAACTTGTCCTTCTCTAAGTACTTCTAGTAAGCTAGAATTGCTATTATAAATTTAATTATTTATATCTCTTTTACTAGTATCTCTTTAGATTTATTTCTGAATATATCATATATTTTACCGCTATTTAGCTTATTATTAAAAAATATTAGATTAATTTTACTCTAGTTACTTTCTACAACTAAATTCTTTTAATGTTATATAGATTAGCTATTCTTTATTATATTAATGTTACTAATATATTCTTAAATTTTTTTTTATTAATTATATTATTTTACTAAAATATCCTTCTTTATCTATTTTAAGTATACTTCTAAACATTTAGTGAATTTTTAATTCTTTATATTTAAAAGTTTATTATATAAGAATAAGAAGTTATTTAACTTTCTTAAGTACTTTATATACTTTTTTTATAATTATTATGTTAGTATAGTTAATATCTATATTTCTTTAGTTTATTATTAATATTAGCTTTTACTAGTTATTAGCTATTAATAATATTCTTTATTATATATCTATTAGATTCTATAGTGATATAAATACAAAGTAGATATAATTAAATAATTTAATATACACTGAATTATTTACTATAAAGTTTTTAAGAGAATTTATTTTAAATATGAAGTTATTAACTAGGTTTAAGATTTTTTTATATTTCTAAATTGTTTTATTTAATATATATTAGTAACTCCTTATTAGCTAGAGATTATATGTAGTTAATATGATAATTAAGTTTCAATTTTTTAGAGAGTTAATAGAGCTATGGATAATTAGGTAGTATAAACTATACTATAAAGAAGCTAGAATAGTAATAACTTTATTTAAATATAGATATATCCTTATATAGTAAAAATAATAGGAGATGGATATTTTATCTTTTTTAATAGTTTATTTATATTTTATTCTTATTATTAGCTCTAATATAGTTTAGAGGTATGATTAACCTTTAAATTTTTAATATATTTTACTATAGTTTAAGCAGAGAAGAATAATAATATTATTAAAGAGTAGTTCTTTAAATACCCTATAGTTAGTTAATAAAGATATCTTTATAAAGGAAATAGGCTAATATTTTATCTTTCATATTAACTACTACTTTAGCTATAACCTAATAACGTATATAATTAATAGTTTCAATAATCTATTACTTACTTTTTAGAATTATTAATAAATATCTAATATAACTAATCTCTTATTATTTAAATAAATAAATACTCCTTTTTACAGGCTATTATATTACTTTATATTTAAGATTTAGCCTTAAAGATTATATATCAATAATTTAGGTAATAATTAGTATTACTATATGTATAAATTATATTATGTCTAGGTAACTAAGATAACTAAATCAGTTAGAGTCAAAATATAAGTTTTTTTTAAAAGAGAACTTTAAGACAATATTTTTTTTATTCTATTAGGATAGTATAATCTATTGGTAGGTTAATAATTAAGATACTTTATCTTAAGCTAGAAGCTTAATACAAATATTTTAATTTATAATTTAATAATAATAAATATATCTATATCTTTATATTAAGAGTAGGATTATTAATAAATATTATTCTAATTGATTTATAAAAATAATTCAATAGATAAGTAACTTATTTTATATATCATATGCTTTTGTTTTTTTCACAGCTTTCCTTTCATTAATCTAGGATATTATGATGTGTCTAAAGTATATAGCACTGTTTTGTTACTTATCTAGTTGCCTTAGCTAGATATCTTTTAAGAGCAAGTATCTCCTGTCATACTAATTCAATCATAAACTGGTATTACCATCTAGATTAAGCTAGATTAAACTGAATATTTTTTAGAGCTTAACCTCTTCTCTAAATATTAATAGAAAGGCTTTTTGGCAACGCACCATGCGTGGCCTAATCCCTTATGCAGCAGCCAGAAAGGGAAGGCATTGCAGACCTTAATGTGTGAACTTCACTTCACCCAAGCACATAATTATATATAATTATATGATTATAAATAGGTAAATTATTGATTCTAAAGATAGCTTTTAATATACATTTAATAAATTTATATTCTTAATAATATATTTTAGGATCTATAATACTTCTATAATATTCTAAACAATAAAAAAAATATTCTATAACATCTTTAGGTTATAATGGTTTACCTTAAATATGTTAATCTTTTTTATCAAAATTTAAAAAAGATTAAAAATATATTTAATAAGTACTTAACTGACTAGAATATTTATTATATATAATTCTGTTTATCTCTATATCCCTTTTACTTGATATTAATATAAGATACTCTGTCCTTATAGTTTTATATTTACCTTTACTCACTGGCAGAGAGTATTTAGCTATAACTCTTTTAATCTTATCTAACTTATAATAATTAGGATCTCCCTTAATATATATAAGAGCTGGTTTATTAAGCTTCTAATAGAATAAATTATTATTACAGTAGTATTCTAGATTAAATATATAATATTTAATTTCTAGGAAGATTTAAAGCGGTTATTAATCTAGATTATAATATAATTAATTAGAAGATACTATTTTATAACTAATAAGACTATTATTAATAATATAAATTTAATAAATACCATATATTAATTATTCTTAAACTAGTAAAAGTACCTTAGATTAACTATTTTTAACCGTTTTAGATTAATATAGATATCTATAAAAATAATTCTTTTACTATAGAATATTAGCTAGCTCTTCTCTAATATAATACTATAGTTATAGATACTATAGACTACTTAAGTTTTCTAAAAAGTAAAAAATAATATAAATAATTATGTTATTTATGTAACTAGGAAAGATAAGATAAATCTAAGTTATTAAAGTTAATAAATTTAAGGTAAACTTAATTATCATTCTTTAATTCATATTTTAACTATTCTTTACCTTAAATAAAATAGATAATATTAACTTTATATCTTCTTGTATAAAGATATATTAAATCTTGTTTACTAATAATAGTAATAGCTTTAAGATAGACCTAGACCATATTAACTTTAATATCAGATTAATCTTACTACAGAGAATGTAACTAATATTTAGATAAAATTAATCTAGATATATAACTACTTAAACTTTTTTAAGATAAGTATAATTACTATAGTTATATTTATTTAGAGCTAAATAAGATACAGTTATTATTTTAATTTTAATTTCTCTTCTTTATTCTTTCTATAGTATTTAAGTTATATTAAAAGGTATCTAACATTAAGCCTATTTCTATATATAATAATAAGTATAGTAAGAATACTATAATAAAGTAGCTTTAGTAGATTAATTATTATTTTTCAAATAAGTAAACTCTCAGAGAAAATACTATTAAACTTAAAAAGGTTATAGAAGTTAAGTATTATTTTATAGGCTAGACTAGAAAATAATAGAATTATAAGTAAAAAATAAATATAATTTAATAATTATACCTATACATGCTCCAGCTCACACCACGCTAACCCATACATAACCAACTTCTAGTGAGACTTTATGGCCAATCCTACACATATAGTATAAATAGCCGACTGATGATCCCATTTACTTACATATTCCTAAAAAGCACCCTGTAAACATATACAGCCAAGTCCAACCTAAGAGGAGAAGAGGTTAGGAGTATCAGAATAAAATACATGTACCAGCAACCAGCTACGTATACCAGCGTTATACATCTAACTATTATTTTGAGGTCAGGGATTGAGGCATCAATCATTGCACATTGCACATAATATTATAATATGATGACAATAGCTACAAGTAGTGATATACTTATAGCTGAACATCATTATTAAGAAGCCGAACTTCATCACCAGGCTGAAATGCAGGGAGGCCAATAAAAGGGCAGCCCTATAGATGATAGCCCGTATGGTCAGACACCATTCCGATGAAGAGAGGGACATTTAGAGAATTCATACCTCACAGCGAAAAGCATCACCTAGGGAGCAATTTCCACAGCTCCCGACCTTTCCCTGCACAGTGAAGTCTACCTCAGCCAGATCACCATGTAACAACTTCATTGCGTCAAGTTGCTCGTCAGCATCAGCTCTCTTGGCTGCATCCTCCTCCTCTAATTTCTGCGCGAGGCCGCAAGTACAATCCTTACAAGCTCGGCGGCGCTTCCCTGCTTTGGGGCGGCATTCTGGCGCTGGTCCACCTGTCAGTTGTGGTTGACGGACACATAAACTCAAGTCGAACGATGAGGGTCCCAATGATGCCTAAATGAGAATCACATCACATGAAGAACACTTACGCTGTATGATTGGTGCTGAAAGCTCACTGTCATCCAGAAGATCGTCCTCGTTGATAAGTTCATCATCAGAAACCTCGTTATTATCCATTGTAGCTGCTGAAACAATGTTCTCATGAATTTTCTGAGACCCAGCAACAGTGACTCTATCATCACCACTGGGGTTTTTACCTTCGGAAACCCCACGTGGGAACGGATGTTCTGCAGCTGATTCCTCCAAACTAAGCGGTGGCCCAGCAAGATGGTTGTGTTTCCTCCCAAGCCGCAATGGAACAGCCTGCATCTCCTCGACATCAGGTTTCACGTATTTGCCATTGCCAGCATGTATAAGCCCAGCCAGAATCGCTTCGTTGTGATCAAACGCACCCCCGGACGCTGCATCCTGACCGTAAATATACCCACCTTTTCTGAGAGATTTAACAATTTGATTGAATGTCCGGCGGTTTATAAGTTTCAGACTCTCAGCAAAGGAGTTATCTCCACCTGCTAGGATGACGATACTAGAGTATGTTGATTCTGGCAATGACGCAAGACCAAGGGTCAAACGGTCAAGCATCTGAAGATCAGTTGCATTGCGATTGTATGACTGAAGGGTCTCATTTAATTTCCCAGGTTGGGATGAGAGGGATGGGGGGGATAGTAAAAGAGTTTGTTTAGCCATTGAATGCCTGGACTTTTGTTTGTATTCAACAAAAATTAGGACTTCCTATCCTTGATAAAGGTGAAGACTGACATGGTCATCTTTCTACTAAATATTTGTATTATTAATACAGGTTCACAATAATACCTTATCAAACAAGAGTAGATGGATACAACCTGATTAGTAATATTGATTGTGTAAATTATTACTGTGATAGGCCTGTATCCGTGCCAGTGCACCACACCATAACCACTATTACCACCATAACCGCCATCACTAAGGTATATAAAGGTACATACTCCCTACACAGTCCCTAAGTCTAATATCTTAGGTATTCACTAGGGGTAATATTCTTTAGATAGTAATACTAAAATATCAAGAGCGAACATCTTATAATTCAAAGCCTTTTAAGAGTTTTAACCAAAAATTAAAGATATGAGAATGTGTAAAATTTCCTCTCTAGAAAACTCTTTCTTAGAGAAAAACATAAAAAGTGATTATTTTATGTTAACACTTGTAATTTTCCTTTCTAATAGTAAAGACGGTAATAAAAGATAGACACTTATATATCTGAATAATAATAAACTAGAAAAAACTAAATATATATATACCTAGATTGAATAATCTATATGTACCTTTTACATGGTGATGCTATATAAAAGGTACATGGTGGTTATGCATGCATGCTGTGGTTGGCGGTTATGGTATAGCACACCCACACTAGCTAAGACACAGATATATGCCTCCCTCCTAGCTGCTAATCTCCCACCAGCCTTTATTACTTAGACTCTCATTTGGTCATTCCCTAACGCATCCATTAAACATGTATCTAATTCTAAGTACTAGATATTAAGCCAGTGAATGTACCTTATGTATAGATGCCAGGCAGCCAGAGTATAATGATATAATCTAACCTATAAGTTAAAAACAAATTATAGAAGGTCTTTTACCTTACTTAGGATTAGTACAGCCCAGCATTGGGGTTCTTGCACTAAAGCTAGTGAAATAAATCAGTCACCAACCAACCCTTCTATCTAGTTTTTATTTACTTCTGTTAGTTATTTATATATACTTAACATATCCCATACTAATGGTATTATAACTGAACAGCCAGCCTCTTTAGGGTTGACTATACCTCATTATCTATTTTTATCATGCAGGGGAATAACAGTGGAGAAGCCGAGAAGGCTTAATAATTAGCTAAACAACAACACTGATAATAATTAATTCTGCAGAATGATAGATCCAAAGTCCCCACTTTGGAATTTGGATATAGCCACCATAGTCTATAACTCCTCCTTCAGGCCTCTTAAGTGGCAATCATTAATCTCGCCCCCAGCTCAGCCAGCTGAGATGGATCCAAGGGGAATTAAGGTAGCAGGCACTCACTGATTTCAGCCCTGACTAAAATAAGGGAATCCATGAGGGAATCTACGGGGTTTCGGCATAGCCTAGGTGCCTATAATACATATGTACACCGGCGGTGCAGTCTGCAAAGACAGCCGCTGGTTAGATAGTCACCACTCACTAGGAGCCTCTAGCACGGCCCAGCTCGGTGCTGAAACAAAGTAAGGAATTAATCAATTAATTAATCAATCAACCAGCCAGGCCTCTTAAGACCTCTCTGTTGTCTGCCACCTTTCTTAAGACCCTGGGGTTCTTACTATTTAGCCTAGAGTTATATTCAGTCTGAGTTCAGGTGAGTTCACCCTTAGAACCAAACTGTGACTGACCATTATTCATTAAGATAACTATTTAACTTAGTAATTACTAATTTCTATGATTTCTCTATAAATTCTGATATCACTGGGTAGCCTAGTATCTAGTCTAGAAACTATTACAAATTAATTATTTCTTATATAATGAATAAGATTAATGTGTAATTTATTTCAACTACTATATAACTATAATTTTTATTCAAGAGACTAAATATAAATCCATAAGAGATTTTAATCAGATATAACTATATAAATACTATTCATACTATAATATTAAGAAGACTTTAATTTAAGAATGGTTAAATTTTCAAGATAACTAAACTTATTTTTAGGTTACTCTTCTTATAACTATATAAAGATTTTTAAAATAATAATAATATTTTATCTTTTATATAAACTACTTAAAGAATAATAATTAGATAGTAAAATATATATTAAACGGATCTAAGGACTTTATATTAATAATATTAATACTAAGGGTACCTATATTTTATAAAAAAGATAAACTTTATTATATAAAATTAGAAGACAAGCTAAAGAAGAAAAAATAAGAAAATTAAGAAAATAAGTAATTAAATTTTATTATATCTCTAAACTTTAAAGCTTATATTAGTTAGTTAGATCTAGGATTCTAGGATTTTTATGTCTTATATACTATAGATTAAATATAGAAATATTTAAAAATATTAAAAAAACTGCCAAAGTTACTATAAATTATGATTTCTGGAGTGAAAATATCCAAGTAATATCACTTAAAGATTATTAAAAATTTATTAACACTTAATTCTTTAATCATATAATAAGATTAGGTCTAAATCTAAATAGGCTAAACCTTATATTTACTAAGGATTAGAAAGAATAACTTATAATTCAATAATCTATAGTAATATTTATATAAGCCTTGATTAATATTTAGGAATTAGGAAAGATAATAAGCAATTAATTTAAATATTTTTAATACAATACTAGTAATATAGAATATAAGAATTGCTGCTCTAATTAATATTGTACTGGTAATATAGATATAGATATTATAATAATAACTATGAATAATATAAGTAGTAATAATATTAATTTATTATATTGATATCTAATAGTATAAAGAATTTCTATAAAATATTAGAAAAAGCTAGTTAATAGATCTACAGTATGTGATAAATAATAGATATAGAATCTTTTTTTCTTAGATATACTCCTCTTTAGTTCTTCTATATAGGTATAAACAGACTATTAATGAGAAAAGTAAAATTTCATTATTCTATAGTAGTCCTTATAAACTACTAATACATTATGGGATAATCTAGACTAATAATTAAAATTCATTAAAATCTATATGTATATTTATATAAAGAAGTATCAAAGTAAGAGGATCTAGAACTAAGAATATTACTAAATATAAATTACTCTATTCTATAAATATCAAAGATCAGTCTATCTTAGAAAAATAATATAAACTCTTACCAAGTTAAGAATAAAAAGAGATAATATTTATTTATTATATTCGGATAATCATTCATTGCAGTAGGGAATAGAGCCTTTAAATCATATATATATCTATTAATATTATATCCTCCCCTGCTTAGATTAAACTTCATCTATAGAGTTCTTACTAAGAAAAATACCTAATTCGGATATTATTATATCTTTATTAACTATCTAATCTATAGGATTAACTGAATTATTCTTTATACTGCTATTTTTAAATTACTATAATAGTAGCTTAGTATGTTCTTTATTTAATATATAAGAGGTATAATTAGATTAATTTACTTAGAATATTAATAAGTAAGTTACCTAAGTAATTAATAACTTTAGTAAGATAAAGGAAAAATCTATTTAATTATTAGCTAGTTTAACTATAGCTATAGAAGAAAGAGTTAGGGGAAAGATTATAAAACTATTAGTCTTAGGCCCCTTACTTTAAATATTCTAGTAATTTTAATTATTTAAGGCTAGGATATAGATCTTCTTCTCTATACTTTTACTCTTTATAGTTCCTATTTTATTCTCTATAATTACTCTTATTCTATTACTTATAGTACTCCTAATACTTATAGCACTAGTAATATATATAATTAGAACTATATATACTAGTTTTAATAGTAATATCTTCTCTATAAGATAAGGATTATAGAGCTAATAAATAAATATAATAAAGAGTCTTAGTCCTACCTCCCTTACTAAATTATAAAGATTATAACCTTCTATACTAGCCTTATAGAGGCTATTAGGATTATAAATTCCCCTAGAGGTCTTATATATACTATAGTAATAAAGATAATTATGAAATTAATAATATTAATAAATTTAATAAATACTAAAATACTAGAATTTCCTAATTAATTAAATAAAGAATAGCTACCTAAATATTATAATAGTTAAGACCATTAATAAGAAATAGAATATTAAGAGTAGGAGTATAGTTTAATACTAATATATATTTTATTTATCTAATCTAATATAGTAATTATAAGTAAGAATTTCTATCTAATAATATCTTATATATCTATATCCTAGACTATGATCATATCGGTATCTTCTATATAGATATTATAGATTTATCTTTTATTAAAGTAAATCCTACTTAAATTATATAATAGTATAGATTTTAGATCCTAGTAATATATTATAATTAAAATATTTCTCTATATAGATAAGCTACTTACTATAATCTACCTAGATTTAGGGTAAATTATAATAATTATTAATAAGAGTTTCTTATTAAAATACTTACTAAATATATAAATTAAAAAGTACTTATTTTTATTCTAGTTTATAGCATTATAAATAACTTCATAAATACTTATTATATTCTTACTATTTCTTCCTACTAAATATAGTATATAAAGATATATTCTTAAATTACTAATTAAAGTTTATCTTATTAATAACTTAAAAGTTAATCTAATTAGTATAGATACCTTTAGTAAATATAGATTTACAATTAATTTTACTAAATATAAAGTAATAATAGTATTCACTGTATTCTATAAAGATATAAAGCTCTTATTAATAATTTTACTAAAGTTATATAAAATAGACCTAAAACTAGTAGATATCTAATAAAAGGTTATTATACTATTATACCCTATAATAAAAGTACTAGTTAAATAAATACATAGCCTCTTTAATAACTAAGATTAAAGTTGTTATTTTCACAGGTTAGGCTGGGTTTAGGCCCCTTAAGAACCCAACCCATGGGTTTTGGGCCCTAGATTCTAGGGCCCAAAACCTAGCCTATAACCTATAGGTTCTAGGTGGCTTAGCCTGCTGGGTTTAATTCTACTAAGGGGGGGCTTCTCT